TAAGTGGGACAATATAGATATAATCAATCTAGCAAACCATCACACGAATGGGCCTTACCATGTGGATTTTATCATCTACTCCTCTTCCTAAGTGAACTTCCGCCTCTCAAGATCATGCAATGCACATTCATGCCATAATTCACACTTTATACAATTCATAGAATTTCACATTATCAATTTCATTAAATTTCATCGTTACATAAGTCATTGGACTTCTTAAACACATTTTCATGGAACTTCAAATTAAATAAGTCATTGAACTCTAATTTCACAATCATTATACTTCACACTTTCAAAATCATTGAATTCTACTATTTTAAACATCATTAAACTTCTCATAAATAAAGATTCATGTTACTTCTCAAATCACAAAGTCATTGAACTCCTAATAAACATAATATGAAAATCCACCGATATTGTCCTCAAAAAATTTCACATCACAAGGCATAAAACTCACAAAAATCAATCTATTAGATTTTCTAGCAAATCAAGCCATACTTGCATTTCCTTTTAATTTACATATTTCAATGATCAATCATAAATCTATAAACTAATAAACACACAAAAGCATAAGATAAAATTCCCTGGATTACCTCAAACCTTTGAGAGGTCAAAGGTTTTACCCCTTAATTACTCACTTTCAAAGCTTCCAAGAAGCTTGAATGATGCCAATGGTAGTTATTCTACAAGCATTTACCATATAAAACATCAATATCCATATTTAAGCTATTTTTCACTAACACTTCAACATTTCCTAATACTTAAGATTTATTCTTGACTCATGTAAAAGTACTATAAGGCTTCTTAGCTTTTTTTAATCCTCATGAATAACATTAAGCTCTTAAATGGTCATTAATGGAACTACATTGTTCCCAACCACCATATTTATGAGAATTTTTGGACATTTAATTTCCTCTAACTACTAATCATCATAAAATCATCGATACTAAATTTATTTAGCTCAACTTACTCCCATTAACTCTATTTAAGTCAATGGGTTTAGACTTATAGCTTTTATGGACCGAAAATTACTATTATCAATCAAACCTTAACTTCTACCATCAAGAAAATGGAAGAAGAGAGAAAGATTTAAGTAAGAAAGCTTACCTTTGGTGTTTATAAGCTCCAAATTACTCTTATAAGTCGATTTTTTCAAGCCCTAGCTTAGCTTTTCATCTCTCTCTTAGTTCCTTTTGTTTTTCTCTTCTCTTTAGCTTCAGTTTCGCGACTTAATACAGTAGAAATCTGACCATACGCTGCGGTAGACGCACAATGCACCGCGGGACATGGCACCAAGAGCTTCTTCTAGGCATGTTGTTACACATGCACCACGGTGGCTCATCCACAAGCCGCGATGCGTGGCACAGAACCACTTTCTTCAGAAATTCTCCTTTGGACCCACATTTAGTATTGAAATCGAGACCAAACATGCCCGTTAGGCATCTCTGGCCACACACCTCACTAATACAGTTAATTAGTCTATTTGAGCTTAATTAGTCTAATTTAAAATCAAGGATGTTACACTAGCGCTCCTAACATTTGTTTGTCTTTGAACATCAGTTTTCTTTTTCATTAAGGTGTTTCGTGGTTCTTAAAGTGTTTGGTATTTAGAACTTTTCTAACTCTCTTAAACTTATAAAGCACATCCCTTTTCTATCTTATTTATAGACTAGGGTTTTAGTTTCCTTTAATGAGCCAACAAAAATATTAGATTAAATTTATCTCATAAATTAAATCTATAATATTATATCTAATTTAAATTTATTTATAAATTTAAACTATAAAACTGATATGACATTCTCTCATATCATATTAGTTATTAAATTTAATTTATCATATAAAATTAAATTTAAAACTAACACAATATAATATAATATAATATAATATAATATAATATGTATATACATATTATATTATATATACACACACACATATATATTTCAAATATATATATATATAATATAATATTATATATATATATATATAATTTTATATATCATATACATATACATATATATATATACGCATAAATATATACATTTTGAATATATATAATTATATTTTAAATTTTATATTTTATATAAATATATATATATATCAAATAAAAATTTATATATATATATATATAATTCATTTACCCTATAGTAGATTCATTGAATCTAGACATGTTCCAGGTTTATTGATTTAGACATTATGGCTCAAGTTAAGCTATTCTTGTGTGTAACCCTGTAGGCCCATATGAAATTGGCATTAGGCTAATTACACTATTAGCCCACAAGTTACAAGTGGCTTCTAGCAAGACATTGCAACTACTCAATTCATATGGGAATCGATGATCCAATATAACTTATTATGTAACCATATCACATCCTTTTTGTCACGTGATATTTTGGTCAAGTATGAGATATGAAATTATTTTTTTCATTTACTTGATTATTATTTTCTCAATCTCTAAGTGGACTGACTGTAGCAATAGAAAAACCCTTTCTATTATAGTATGGCCATACATTTTTTCAGTTTTACTCATCAAGGGGCCCAGTAATATCTCTCACTGAATGTGAGGGACAAATTCCATCTTGACCACTCATATTCGTCTGCATGAATATCACTAAACTCAATCATAGCCTTTATGATCACTCGATCAAGGGTGACTTTTGACTAGGCCAAAGTTTAGTGGTCATCATGTAGGAATCCATGATGATCTCAGGTCAAAGGGCTTAGTGATATGGTTACATATGAGATAAGCTTATGACTTGTACTATGTAGCTTTCTGATAGTAAGTCGGTCCAGTACCTTGTACTCTTTTAAGTGCCTATAATTTTAATTTGTATCTCTATAATTAATTAAAGTTATACTAGTCTTGTTTAATCTATAATCCCTCATAGATGACTGACCAGGGACATTTAGGACAATTACTCTAGTTTGTCTAAGAATAAAGTTATCATAGTGAACATGCAATTGATATGATAACAAGAAAGAAATTTATTAAATAATAATATGCATAGTACAATGATTGGCCTTAGGGCACAATTTTCAACACAAATTTCATATCAAACTTAGAAAATATTAAAGCATTAGATAATTTTCCTATCAATTCTTTTTTTTTTTGTTAGGAATTGGATATCTAATCCATCTTAAAACTTTATTTCATGACTTATAATTTATAACTAATCTTGGAGCACTCTTTCTATTTTTGCAATATTTTGCACATAAAAAGCTGGGCAACTCCAACGAGACTTGCTAGATCTTATTAATTTCTTTTCAAGTAATTGTTAAATTTTCATTTTACAATATTGCAACAATTTTTGATTCATCTGTATTGGTCTAGTTTTTGTTGGGATTTGTTTTTTCATTAAATTTTTTTATAAGATAATTCAACTATGTGCTTTTTCCTATCCCAAAAAGCATTTGGATGTTCGGCACATGTGTCTCTTTCAAAATTTTCTTTTAAATTATTGATTATCTTTTTTATTTATAAGTTTTCTACCTATTCTTCAATTCTTTTATAATTAATTTCTTTATTAAGAAATTTTTTTTTCTTTTTCTATATATAACATTTACTCTAAATATAGACTCTTGTTTTAACATTTTTATTTCTTTAACTTTTTGGGGTTTAACTTTAATCCAATCAAAATTATTTTTTTTCCTCCTATTTTTGTTAGTATCCCTTCATAACTTGCTTTAGAGGGTAATAGTACCAAATAAAAATATTCTTAAAACATATACCTTAATTACAAATATGAGCATTTGATAGTTTATACTATATATCTAACTTTGAATTATTGGTTGTTCCTATTTTTTCATAGGTTTTTTATATTATTTTGTTGAAATTAATCCTTCATGTATACAATTCATAACGGCTCCTAAATCTATTAAAACAACTATAGTTCTTGAAAATTCTTGATTTATTACTAAATTTACTTGACAATACAATTTTCTATAAGTTAATTGTGATATTATATTTATATATCTATTTTGATCTATTTCTGTTGGAATTTTACTTATTTCATCTTCTGCTTTAATGTTGTTATTAAGAGTTTTATTAGTTTCTATTAAAGCTTTTATCTATAATAATTCTATTTCTCTTAGGGATTTATTTTCTTTCAATTCTTTTATTTCTTGTTTTATTTGTTTTTATCTCTTGTTGTAATTCTTTTATTCCTACCGGGTTAATTTGATCTGGTTTAAACCTTTTTAATATATCTTTTATGATTATAGGTTCTTTAGAATTTGAGGTTTTTCTTCTTTATCTATAATATCTTTAATTTTTTTAGTAACTATTGTCTTTTAATATTTTCATCTTGGATTTTATCTATAATTTCTACTATAGCTACAAACATGAATCCCAAGTATAATTTTAAAGGAAAAAACATGACTTTAAATATCTATATTTTACTCGAGTTTTGCTATAGATCCCTATAATTTTTTTTATGTTTCAGGTTTTTATACTTTTGTCTTTCGATATTTTAGGTCTCTATAACACCACTTATGGAGGGACATAGAACGTAACACTGAAAAATTAAAACTCTAGAGACCTATAGTATCAAAAAAAAGTGTAAAAACTTATAGCAAAACTCGAATAAAATGCAGAGACTCAAAGTTATATTTTTTTATTTGAAAGTTACATGTGAAACTTAAATGTTTTATATCTAATTGTAACTCCTTAATTCACCAAGTTTGTTTACTTATCGATTTAGTCCATAAATTTAATCTTTATTAATCAAGTCTTGGAGTTTCAAAATCACACACAATTAGTCCCTATGATGTTATTTTCCTTTCAAACCTAAAGGATCTATTGTTTATGGTTTTGAAATTTTAGAGACTTGTTTGTTAAAAATTAAACTTCAAGGAGCAAATTGATCATTGAAGAAAATTGGAGGGACCAAAAGATTCAATATTCCTTTAGAAAATTTTATCAGGAACTAATTATTATTAATTAAATATTTTGGGTCAACTATATTTTTTCTTAAAATAAAAAGAAACTAAATAATATGCATGTCTTACACATCGTGTTGATCACAAGCACCCCAGCCCACAGGGTCGACGACACTTGAGAGACAGGAATTGGCGAAGATAGCCCTAGAATATGGTCCATAAGCTCTCCCAAGGAGGGATTTTCCAATTCCATCCACGTAGAATCCATTGAACACATACCCATTTGTTTCGTTAATGGATTTTCTCTTTTGTGCTGCCATAACACTACCTTTTCGACCCTCTGATCCTGATTTAATATAGATAGTGCAATTCTACCCAAACGTACCAATAATTAAAACTCATATATTCTAGTTCAATGTTTTCAATATGTAAATGCATTCATGTCAATATACATGTAGTATTTTTCGTTGACATATATATGTATATATATATTGGAAGTCAACAAAGATTACAAACGTTAATCCAACGATTACTACACGCAAATCAACAATATAATTGACTACAAAGGGGGAAAAAATAGAGAACCAATCAAATGACAGCCAAGACCAAACTAAATAAACATAAAAGCTAACAAGTTGCAGATTAACGGCTAATTTATTTAAAGAGTTAATGAGCAACCTAAATTATGAACTATTACGTGAATAATATTATAGACCTTGAATGCATGAAATGTGCAAAAACTTTACTTGACTTCTAAATTCTGAGCACCTAAAATTTCATAGTTAAACAGCCATTACTTTTGTAGTTGTGAGGCCCAATCTAGGATAAAAGTTGATGAAAGTTTTTACATATTTTAAAAGTTTAGGGTCCAAGATATTATTCACATAATAGTTTAGGATCCAAGATCCTTATTGACCCTTATTTAAAATTTAAAAAAAAGTGATTTTAGTTAAGCTTAACATTTGATTTGCTGGGAGATAATAACTAAACTAATTGTGAACGTTTGAGCAAAATAATTTATTTGTTTTTAACACGTCTCTTATCTTTGCTTAGCTCAAATTCTTCCAACAACATCCTCATATTCCAAACAATCTACTTATATTTAGCCTAATTAAAATTATTTTTAATTTTAAACAAACTGGCCCTAATTAAGTCATAATAATAGGGGATGCTATTAAGATTTTCTCTACCAACTATCAAGTCCCACCCTTTCCACGCCAGTGTTGTATAACTTATTGTAGTTACAAGAATAAGATATATATATATATATATATAGTAAAACCAACAGCAAGTCATGTTATTATTTACATATAATAAGCTGTAAATAATGTTACTCATCTAAGTCATCTTAAATCCATATAATGCTTACTTTAAAACATAGATATAGATCCATATACACACATGCTACATTGGGTTAATTACCTGATAGATTGATTGACCTTTTCCAACTATGAAATCTACTTCACCTTGAATGTAGCAGTTATGGCAGTAATGGCGCGACCTGTATGATCAAATAAGGTGTCTTGGACACCTTTGAAGGAACAATCATAGAATGCTTTTTTGTCTCCTCTCACTGCAGCTGCTAATGCTGGAAGTGCTCTCCTCTCTTCGTCTTCTCCCGGAGGATGATTGTACATATTCTACTTAACGCATTCAACCATCATCATACATTCATATATACATACATACATCAGTATGTTACACGTACATCCATATATACATACACTAGATGAGGGGTTGCATAATCTTAAAACTTAAGAGCCGAGGTGCAAATATTAAAACTTAAGGATAAATAGTTACAAATTTTAAGGGTATAAATGCAAAAAACTAAAACTTATAAACCAACTTTATAGTCTTCTCCAAAATGATTCAGTGTATTTCCTCACCAGTCACCACCATGTGGCTCCGCCGCTGCGGGCGCGTATATACACATATTTCTACATGCTTTTACTGTATATCAAAATCTGTGTGTATGGCCTTTATTAGGATATCTGCGTATAATACTATACTATATTCAATGATAAAACGTTATACTCTTTTTTTTATTTAAAAAAATATTTTCCAATAAATAATAGGCTAAAGTATTCATTTTATCCTTTAACTTTACACAACGTTTTATTTTAGTCCTTTAACTTTATAAAATATCTTTTTAATCTTTTAACCCTAACACTGTTAGTTTTATACTAACAAATTGTTATATTGAACTTTCAAATATTGATATATTGCATTTAATTTTTTCAAAATAACAATACATTAACACAAATGATAATCATTTGAAATTAACAATGTAGGGTTAAAATATTAAAATGATACTTTATAAAATTGAAGCACCAAACCGAAACTTTATATAAAGTTAGAAGACTAAAAGTATACTTTAGCCTAAATAATAATATATGGGATACCTCAACGTCTAAATCATGGGACTCTCCAAACATGTCTTATGTACTCTCTCGGTCTCCAATCTTTTGTATAAAGTGTCTTCCAAAAATGAAAGGTAGTTCGAAGTATAAGGTGTCTAGTTAGAATAATCAATCGTGTTCTATTTTTATCCTATAACTTTGATAACTTTCTTCTAATTTAAATAAGGCATGATGTGTTCCCTTAATTAATATGGGTTTTTTTTTGAATCATGGGATATTTTTTTACACAAATAAATCAATCTAACAACTTTTGTCAATATGTTTGAAAAATGAAAAATGTTTGAAAACACCATATATAAAGAATGGGAGGAAGTATGTAATTAAGTTTAAGTGAAAGTAAAGGCTAAAATGTTAAGACAGTTTTAACAAGTGAAAATAGTAAAATGACTAATTGCATAATTAATTACTTTGAAGGTAAATGCCCTTTGTTATGACGTTAGGAGCATTTGATTCAAATGTATAACTACTAGTTGTTGTTTGATGATCACTCCACTGAATAATTGTGCAAGAACTTCCTGCTCCTTCAAGAAAAATTCATGGCTTGTTCATTGATATTATTACTTTTTCTCTGCAATTTAAGAGAAGGTTTATGCATTAGTATAAAATTGTATAAACATCCGTGTAGAACTAGACCAAGCTTATTAGAAGGCCAGCAAACTGAAGACCAAAACAAACTCTAATAATTAAAATTCTTCCAAAACCAACTTGATTCAAAATTGGTCAAAAAGCAGTTTTATATTAGGAGATGTTCATGGTTGAACAACAAATACCAAGTGTGCTAGAGATGTTGAGTTTTAATTGATAATAAAAGAGTCTCGAGCTCCCTTACCACATTTCACTCAGATGTAAAAAGATATAACACTTTGGTAGAACAAGTGTTTGATTTTATTGAAGTACGAGAAATTGCAAGTCTAATCTAGAAATTAACTGAAAAAAATTAAAGGTTAAAAAGTGTAAAATGCGAGTCTGGTTGAGTGTTGACTAGTCTCTTCTGTGTCTTCGTTGTCTGTTTATAGTGTCAAAGTGGTGGTCGCCTCTTCTTTAAGACCTAGCATGTTTTGTCGAAAAATCAAGGATCTCGTGAAACCTATGGCACGGTTTTTATTCTATGTTCTCCATTTTGGTAATAAGCTTGTTTCACCAATATATTTAGGTGTAAAGTTCGTAAGTATTGGCATTACTTGAGATTGCGTCTTTTCATGCCAACAATCTAATATTTGCAGCTGATGAGATTTGAACATGTTTATTTATATTGGCCTTAATCGAGCTTCAGGGCTGGCCCCTTTTGTTTATATTGGGCTTAACACTTTAGTTACTCGACCCAACTAGCCCTGTGACCTATTTAAGTGACATTTCATATTGTAGCCCAAACAATGCCCCCCGTATGCTAGTGCCTAATAACATAAGTCACGTGACACGTTTGAAAAAATTGAAACATCGCTTCATTTCTGAGCGCCCTTTGTTAATATAAACCCATTTCTTTTTTTGGTCACTTCTCTTACCTTTTTTGCTATTTCTTGACATTCAAGTATTTGCCCTCTTGCTCCAATCTTTCTTTCATTCTCAAATGACTTCTTCTACTTCTGCTGCTGCTTCTATTGTCGCTTCATCTTCCATACCTACCAAAAGTCTGCCTCATTCTCTAGCAACTATCTGAAATCTTTGCCCTACTTGGCGGGTTTGTGATGGTACATATTCAATGGTTAAACCCTTATTTTCCCTGGATTGGTTCCTCATTCTAATAGTTATTTATCTTCTTTACAGGAGGATTCTTCGTTCCTCGATTCTATTGCCTTCTAGTAAGCTTTCACTTCTCCTATTTAACCTTTTTGTTTTATTGGGGAAATACGCTAACTATTCTTTGTTTTTTTCCAGCACTTCTCCTTAGAGTTTCCAACTCTTTAACAAAAGTGATATCGGGTACCTGACCATATCTCCTAACTTATTCAAAGTCATAGCCCAACTCAACTAAATCCATGGCCACTAACCTCCGCACGTAACTTGGTCTTAGCTCAGGCGACCTCACCTTTCCCTAAGTCGTCTTGTTGAAAGCTCAAGAATTGGCCTCAGTCTCCTCGAGCTTGGATCAACTGGGTAAAGCGCTTGAAGCAGACATATGTGCCATAGTGGAAGGAGATGGGCCTTTATGAACTAATTTAACTATTCGTCGATGTTAACATCTCGGTCGAGCTTCTGATGGCCTTCTTAAGTTTCTAGCCTTCTTAAATTTCTATTCATCGATGTTCATATTTGAGCTCAGCCCTATGTTCATCACATTATGGGACATTTTCATGTTCCTGAGGCTGCCCATCATCAGGGAGGAAAACTTTTACACAATCTTCGAGAAGCATGACTCCTACACTAGATCTGGAGAGCAAGATTAAGGGCGCAGGCTCTTATATAAAAATTATAGAGCTGTTCTTCGAGAAGCCAGTTGATGAGCCTGTCACCCCCACAGAGCACCTAGTCTTCATCTAGATCCTATTAAGCCAATAGATCCTGGCCCTAGGGGGAGGGAAGCCCTTGTAGTTGCATTTGAGGAATACCCAGTCTCTTCTTTATGGCAATCAGATTGCCTTGGGAATGATGTTTTTGTGCCACCTCTATGACGGCATAAGGGAGTTGTTGATAAAGAAGCCTTTCAGCAACTTCCATGGGCCCCTTTGGTTTTTAAAGCTATAGACAATGACTTACTTCCCCTTCTTCAATGGGAGCCCTTTCTTGATGATTCCTGAGCCAACCATCCCTTCACCTACCTTCTGGGTGGTCATCTGTTGACTGACTCAATAAACTTCTTTGAGTTCTTCAGTCAGTTGATTTGGTCGTTGGTAAGGACCTTAAAGGCTTTCAATGTTCTGGATCGCTGCCTTCCCACCTGGTATGAGTATATTGTGGACTAAAAGAACAAGCCTGCCAAATTACTAAGGGATGAGGTTTTCCTCTCGGCTACTACCCCTAAAAAGATGTGGTTGCCATACACTAGCTCCTCCTCTAAGTCCTTGAATGTCTACTTGGAGTCTTATCATCCCCAACTGGTTGCGGGCTAGTTTGGATTGAGCTAATGCATCCCTCAGGGCCTGTCCCCCAAAGTATGGAGCTGCTGGATCAGGAGGCTATTGACCATATAACTATCCTACACACCGCCTAACGATAGTGCAAGGTAGAGCTTATAGATAGAGATACCTGCCTTTGCTTCAATAAATGGTGGCCCCAATGCTTTAGGCGCATAATAAAGAGCCATACCAATAAGTATTGTCTCCTATATTCAATTTACCTTTCCTTTCTCTTTCCTTATGGCAAAGTCTAACCTATTTGAATTCTTTTGTAGGCCTTGATTAGACATAATCTCACGTACCAATGACATACTTAATGAGAAACATCGACCTCCCTACTGCTTCTAAGACCCAGAACGCCCCCTCATTGAGGACTGTGGTCCAACGGATGGATCAGGATGATGCCTCCTCTTAAGTCTCGATCCTAAAGAAGCCTGAGGCTAAGAAGATCTCCTCCTCAAGTCACCTAGATAAAGGAGACAGTCCTGACAAGAGGAAGCGAGCTCAGTTTCCTTCGCCCGATGCTAAGAGGAGGAAGAAGACAACACCTCCTCCCCTCGATCAACCTTTCTCCACTCCTCTTTTAGTTAGTCCTACTCCCCAGAAGGGAAAGCGCATGCACAAGTGCTAACAGACAATGATCCTGTCTGCAGAATCTAATGATGACAGGGTGAGTCCCTTTCTACATAAAGGGATAGAAATCGAGCTCTTAGATCCCTAAGTGATCATTTTTGCCACCACTTCCATTCCTGAGCTAATCCCTGTGGATCCAACTGAAGTTGCTCTAGATGTGGCCTGAGAGGTAATGGGGCATGTTGATGATTTGAGGGCTGCCATATTTGCTACGACCTCAGGTGGTGTTGATGGTTTTAAAGACCTTAAGGCTACTGTTATCCAGGGAGAAGCTTTCACTTTAGCCCTGAGTGGTGGGTTGGAGCTTGGGGCTAATGAAGTTTAAGGTCCTACTTTTACTAGGGCCTTAAGGATAGTTCATCCCATTAGTTCGATCCCACCCACCAGTTCAATAAGCGCCCTAGAGGTTAAGGGCTTTAAGAGGCCCTTGGAGGGATTTCAGGTAATGACTGTGGAGAATGCACTAGTCACCCTGGTCTTTACTTAAGGCATCTCGGTGCGGGATCAGACTGATTACTCTACCCTTGCGGG